CCAAATGCTTTTAAACAGCAAGCTTGGCTATTGCATTCATCCCAAAAGCACTTCTACATACACATGTAAAACTGACAAAACAAACCTGGAAGCCTATTGCTAAAATGATCAGTGGAATGCTTCAATGTCATTTCAATATCACCACTTGAAAGTGCCCGTATATGTCTGTAAACAGTAAAGACAGTGAACAGATCACTCAAATAATCTTTTAGTCAAAAGTTTGAAATGCAGCCACAATCTACAAGTAGGCCTAAAAAACGAACTTTGCAGATATTACAGCATGCACAAAAATTGCTTCCTCTGTGGCAGCAAAGATGAATTCAACCACTGGCTGACCTTTCCTACAATAACAGAAATCACAAATTATTCAACTCAGGCTTCATATAATCAAAGTTCTTGTAATCACACTTAAAAGCACAGAAAAGCTCACAAGTTCATCAGCAACATCCTAACAGTCAACAAAATTTGAGAAGAGACAGATTAAAGCAGATTTTACCTAACCAATCCAACTTATTTAGAAACATATACTGAGCCAGACTGGTTTAGTTAAGTATAAAATCCCAAAAGCTGCTACCCTTTAAAGTCGGGCATGGATGCAGAAAGTAACACCTATCACTATCCATGATATCCTAACAACTATAGAGTAAGTAGTTGTTCTATCAGTTTATATGGCAAGTTCGAAACCTAATTCTTTAAGACAATGTCAATATTTAATATTCAAATCCTTGTATCATTCAGCATTCATATCCTACCTACTAATGCTTTTCTTCTGATTGCTATAATATTTACAATAAATGGATGTTTCCCGTGTCTGTTTAATAATCCCAAGTCTGGTCGCGCAACCAGCAGGGGAGGGGAGGGGGAGGGGGTCCAGTGAAGCAAACTTATCAGGCGTGCTAATTATAATAGATCAGTAGCAATAATTGTAACTTTCAAGCTAGACAGAATTCTCATTCAACAAAACTAATAGCAAGCCATCATAAAGGTTCCAGACAACTTAACCCAAAATAGTCGTTACTCCAACTTTAATGGAGAGACATTTCGCAAGAGTATACCTGTAAAGTTCTTCACTCTGTGAAGATGGATGATATCTCGAGAATACATCCCCAAATCTCATGAAGGAAAATCCTTTAAGTGCCCTGTCAATTTAATGGTGGGAAAAACAAGGAAGAACAAAAATGTAAATTTTCTCGTACCAATAAAAAAAAACTTCTTATATGCAGACAATTGCTCGTAGCAATCCACTCACAGAAACAAATAAAGAAATATTGACAAGCAAGAAGAGTTAAAGAAGACTTAGTAATTCAAGAATAAAACCTTTCTACACAGTTCCTTAAGGCTTGAGACAATGCAGCTGCAACCTCTTCTGAGTCCCCAGGAGCCACCCAAAGTCCTGATGCAAGCACTACAATCCAAAGGCTCATAATAAGTACACTCCAAGCAATCAGCATTTTAATTGTTTGGATAGTAGATTATTTACCAAATTTTATTTGCTTGAATCATCAACACATTTTTCAACCACCTTTTTATCTCACATCATCACATAAAAAAAGGTGCTACAATATTTTTTTCAAAAAATTTATCCCAAATAATCTACTATCCAAACACGCTAATATAAAACAAAAATTAAAGCCAAAGTGCAATGCCAACATAAAGTAGAATGACCTAGAGCAGCTTAGTTGTCTAGTTTAAGAGGAGGAAAAAGAATCAGGCATTCATTTGAGGTAAAGAACTGGTGCACAAGCACACAATTCTGGCACCCAAAGCTCCGGAAGAAACAAACCTCTCAATTTGGATACAGTAGGTTGAGCCTTCTCAACAACAGATGAATGATTCCCGGGGAGGAAAAGCCACAGCTTGATCTTCTCATCTATGCAATTTTAAATAGCAAGCAGCAAGGCAAATTAGCGAACAAAGGTGGGAAAAACAGTTCTATCACTTCCCAGCATATAATACAAGAGATCCCAATTTATTGCTTGCTTACCAGGATTGTGCAAACCCTGGGACGGATCCCATGGTCCAACAAAAGAATTGGTCCATGTACTAAGAAATCCCTCCTTCTGCAACTGTAGGTGTGATGACAGCACCACAGATGTTGCAGCATCTCTGGCGTCGACCTTCACACTGAATATGATGATTCAAAACCAATCTTGACATAAATTCCAGAAGAACAGCACAAGGATCATCCATAAAGCTACTAAAAAATCAAACCTTTTGTCAGACAAGGAGCTAGGATCAAATTCATTTGGCAGAAACTGAAACCACGATATCTGATGTAAACCTCCCTGCAAAAATGGCAAACCAAAAGAGGGCAAAAAAAGGTAATGTGGAACCGTAGTTAAGGTCCTTAAGGACAAAACACACTGGGTAAGAAAATATATCATTTTAAAAGGTATGACCACTATTGATTTCCTTCCTTTCATAGGAAGGAGGTTGCCAAAGGGGCAACAGCATGAGGATCATAAGCTAGCCTCTGAAATTACATCTACGAATGAACAAAATAACAGAGTTCTTTGAAGCCACATTGCACCTATTGAAAAGTCTGTTTCCAACATCGACTCCCTGAACTGCTCACCAATTCTGATACTTATAATGGACTTTGAGATGGCAGCGACAACAATATTGTGGTTCCAAGAGAATGGAAAGACGAAGCATGTCAAAATAGCTATGTATAACATAAAGTTACAATTTTACATAGGTTCCTCAATTTTCCGTTGTTCTCTTCTCTTTTTCTTGGATGGCACAGGAGTAATTAGATATGTAGAAACTGGCTTATGGCCCTCTTTCTTGTGTTTTAGGTTAAAAGAGAGAAGTTGATGCAATGGACAGGTTAAATGATCTAGTTTCAACTAAAAATGTGCAAATTAGTAGCTCCAAATCAAATCCCAGATAAGAGTAAATTCTGCCTGACTGATAGTTTTTCGGTTGTATAGCTTTTGAATCAGCATAGATTCACAATCCCGATATGCATGAGATAAACGTTGTAGCGAAAAGAAATACAGAAAAAAAAAATTGATAGCATACATTAGTTTTCTTATAAAAACAATTTTAAATTTTTGGATAGACTTGACAGTTCTTTTCACCCTAACACATGCTATACACTTATACTAATTCATCTTCCTTTTCCTGGTGAGATATGCTTCTGGTGACAACCGTAATTCAGAATAACTTCAATCACCTGCTCCATTGTTTTCTACTATTATCTACTATTATTATAGAATTAAAGAAGAGTGAAAACTTCATCCTTGGGGTCCTTAGGTCTACAAAGATACTGACAAAACAATTTGTAGGCTATTCTGGCCTCGTGATGTTCCTACTTCAGATTGTATCTCCAAGAAAATAAGAAGTAATTTTTATGCACTCAAAATGTTATCCAGACCTCGTATTCATTATCGCACACGAAAAAAAAAGAAAATCACAACATGGGATAGACACAACCAAAATGAACAGAGGATAATGAACAAAGAAAATAAAATGAAGGAAGGTAAGAAAGTGGGAAACATACAATCTTAAATACATTTGTCCACATCAGCTGCAAACGGACCAGAAAAATTTAACAATTCAAGCTCAGCAGTCTGGATCCTGAGCTCTATAGAATAAATAGCAACTGCACAAATCAAACAATAGATGAGTTCCAACCCAACAAAGATTTGCAATTTCATCCGAATTGCAGCTAAGAAGATGCAAATATGAATTCAAGCTTTGGAGAATTTTTTAAGTAATAAAAATCAAATAGGGAAAAAAAACAAAGGGTAGTGAGTAGAAAGAGAGAAGTAGCTGAATTTGAAGTTATTGATAACTACCTAGTATAATTACTCCATAAACCCTAATGCTTTGAGCTTCATTTAGCAGCAAAAAAAATCATAAAACCCGAATTTAAAAAAAAAAAAGTTGCAAAATTTGGGTGGCTTAGGGCTTATAATTATTCCCCAATACAAATAGTATTAATATCATCTTAAACAAAACAAAAAAAAATTCTACGGCATACCGGAGGTTTTGCAGAGAAAGAGATTCGGATAATCTAAGCTGAGTGATGATCAGCTCGGGATTTTGCCGTCAGGAAATGGTATTCGGGTCGGGTGGGTGGGGTTCGGAGTCAGCTCCCTGGGGCTCCTAACTTTTGGGGAGGAGGAAACCTTTGACGCTAGCTTGGAATGCTCCATTAATAAATCATTATTACCGTACTATAAATTTTGGACCCAAAAGGCCAGAAGATAATTTAGTGGAAAGTATTTTACATTTTTTTTGAACAAAAATTTAAACTTCTTGCAATATTTATTTGTAGGAAGATCTTATTTACATAATGCTACTATTATAGCATATGATTCAAATTGCACCTAAGCAATTAATCAACATCTTTTAGACCTAGGAATGAAATAATTTAAGCACATTTGTTGCAATTTATTTTTTTAAAAAAAATAACTTATATCACTATTTAGTTCCTAATTAAAAATTTTTACATTCATAAAAGAACAGCTCAGTTGTTTTAAATTTAGTACAAATAATTTTTTCAAAAATATCAATTACTAAATAAATATTTCCTTTCATATTTTCTTTTTTAATTTTTTTCTAAATAAAGAAATAAACTTTTAATAAATAGAATGTATTCACCATTCTATTCTATTGAAAAATTTACAAAACAATAGTATATCATTATTAATTGCAATATATGAAATATCTTGGAACGGTGTAATTTTTTGTTGTTTATTGCAAAAACAAAAATTTAATTGAAGTTGGGCTTGAAGTTTTCTAAAGAAAAATTAATATATTTTTTATCATATTTTTAATTATATTTTCATCTTATGTATATCAAATTATAACATTTATAGTATATTTTTTTAAAGAATGTTTGAAAAATTGTCATTCAAATGGAACCATAAATTTTTTTTTTGGGGAAATGAAAAAGGAGATGAAAAATATGAAATAATTCAGAAATTAAGAAATATATTTTGTAGCCCCCTCCGAGAAACTTGCCAGCCCATCGTATGATGAAAATGAGAAATTCTACATTTCCACAACCTATTTAAACAAGAAAAAGAATGGTAGGGCAGAAAAAAAAAAAGAAACAAAAAGGAAAAAGTGAAAATGCGAGGAGTAGTGAGAAGCAAAGTCGGCAGAGCTCTGTATTCGGTGGCGCGGCGGCGGCGGCGGGAACGGCATCGGCGACTTCTGCTGCTGCTGTTTCTAGAAATCCATTAAAACACCCTGGCCATGATTGGTTAATTGTAAGAACTCTCGCCTCTATATGCTGGACCACTCAATCTCATTCCTCCTACAAAGTTCACACTGGAGCAGGAGCTCTGCTCGCTTCCCCGTGGTCTATTACTCAGCTCCGTCACGCCAGATTTTCCGGCGCGGATGTATGTTATTTCTCGCCTTTTGCTGGAAAAAATCAAAACTTGATCATTAGTTAATAGCTGTGTTGATTACACTTGCTGGAATACTTGCTTATGCATCATATATTGATGTTATCATTATTGATTCTTCACGGTAATCTTCTACTCATTCCTCCGAACTGAAAATAGATTGAAGGTTTCTTTTTTTCTTTTTACGTAACTTTTTTTCTCTTATGATATCATTACGTGGAAAAGAGATGCTTCAGAATTAGGAGTTTACTTGTATACTTTTGAGAGTATTATTAGGTAGAGAATTAATGAAATTATCGTTTAATTGACTGTTTAAGATGTAGATGGCAAAATGTAGCTTGTTTCCTAATGAACTTCAGACATTTTAAGGTCAGACATAGTAATGAAACTAAGCAATTCAACTGGAAAATGTGTATACCAATATTGACAGTGTAATGGCATCATGATTTAGTCTTCAGTTCTCGAAAGTGTTGCATATATGGTGGGTTGCTGGCTTAAAAATTTTCAGGGTGCTAGATGCTATGACTTTGACCTGCAACAGGGTTGTAAATGGTGGTACACATAAATCCTAAATGCGCTTAGCTTAGTAACCATTTCAAAATTGAGGATACGTCTCCATTTTGCTTCTTGTGCAGTGATGGATAAGAATAAATTTTGCTTCTGCAAAATATCTGCTTTCTGAAAAGCAACAAGTTATAATAGATGCTTTCTGATAATAACATTTTTTTTAAGAAAATATATAAATGGGAAAAGATGTACTTTGAAGTTTTAAACAGGTTTTGCAGAATCGCTATTTCAAAGCTGCTAATAGAAAGACTGAAAAGCAAAGGGAACAGGAACATTTTTTTTTACTTAATCTGTTTTTTTTTTAAATATTCCTACTTAGAACACCGGATTCTCAGTAGCTTTTTCATTGCATACTAAAGGTACGTATAATTAGGAGACAAATTGTAATCTCAAGTTGTATACCACAAGAGCTTCTTTGACTTGAAGGTTCTGTTTTGACTTATTTCTGTGTTTGACAAATTAAAGGTTCTGTGTTTGTTACACAGGAAAGATAGAAATGGTAAAATTCTTTTAGCTTTCAGCTTTTTGTGTATGAGTCTGCATGTATTTCTCCATTGTTGCCTTCTATTGCAAACTGTTGTTACTGCATTATTTGTCATGATTTGAGTAATTATCTTCTCCTCAGTCTTGTGTTACTCATATGGTTAATTGCTTGTCTAACATTGGTGCAGGTGAGACCTGGGAATGTCATCGAGAGAAAAGGTTAGATTTTTAATACATTGAATTAAAGCGATTATGACATAATATGCATGCCACTAATTGAGCATTCCAATGTTGTTTTCGGATGGTTTTGGTGGTATTCAGGAAAGATTTATCAGGTAATTAAGTGTGCCAATTTTTTATTTTTCAATACATTGTGATGTCATTACTTGTTTCCATATACTATTTTACATGAAATGGTCCTTGATGAAGTTTAATTTGGTTCAGGTAGTAAAGGCCCAGCATACAACTCAAGGAAGAGGAGGAGCAATAATACAGGTCTAGCTTTGCTCTTTCGGTGCAGTTTCACGCATTTTAATTCCTATAATCTTCAAGCTCAAGTGCATTTTAGTTCTAAAGACATCCTTATGGGACTTGTGATATTTTTTTTCTCAACTATTTCTAGCTTTGCTCTTTCAGTGCAGTTTCACGCATTTTAATTCCTATAATCTTCAAGCTCAAGTGCATTTTAGTTCTAAAGACATCCTTATGGGACTTGTGATATTTTTTTTCTCAACTATTTCTTGGAAGGTAAAACATGGTAGATTTGTCCTACTCTCTTGAGAATGTTGTGCACTGTCCCGTCATAATGTGTTATCTATGACTCACTGGTTGGTTGCTAAGAATGCCATCTTATTGCTGACTTTTATTTAGTATTATTTCTGGAAGTTTTACCAACACTTTCTGTTAACAAAATCTTCTGGCTTGTCATGTTAGTGACACACATTTTCTTATCCCTGCACCCTGTGACATGGTTTTGGCAGTAAATCATACAAACCATGATTATGATTTACCAGACATAATGATATATTTTAGAGAATCCTGTTTGCGTATTAGGACTTTTCATTTTATACTGTTTCATCGAGTCCTTTGGTTTGTGAATTTTGAAATACTTTTGTGCCTTGGATGGTTGACATAGGATATGGCTCTGTTCTTGTTTAGTTCTAACTTGTTCCTGTAATTTAAGTTTATTGACTGTTGAAAACGCTGTTTGACAATATTGAAAATTATTGCTTGAAAATTTTTGAAAAGCCAAAAATTGTTGTGAGTGGCGCCTCGACATTGTGTCGAAGAAACAGCCTTTTCAGCTTACAAATATTCTACGAACAGCTTAATTGGATTTAGCATTGTAAAAGATATAATCTGCAGATTTTAAGGTACTATCTTCTTAGAGCAGCTTATTTGTTTATCATTTCCCTGAACTGCTGCAATGTATATGATCTTGTCTTCACTCTTGAATATTATTAAATATCTGTCAGTTGTACTCATGCCTTTTCCTTTTTTTTTTTTTGAGAATATTACAGGTGGAACTGCGTGATGTTGATAGTGGAAGTAAAGTAAATGAAAGGTTCCGTACTGACGAGTCTATTGAAAGTATGAATTTCAACTACTTGATTCTTGTTGCTTTAAACTCATGCTTGAGATTTTCGTGTTGAATGCTTGTAATACTTTGAAGTCTTAAGCTTACTCGTATGTAGTGGACTGAAGCCCAGTCCTACATTATTGTTTCATCATGGGTGGCAATATTCAGTCGTCTACTTTCCTGTGTACCATAAAAATATTGTCCATCAGTTTTATGAGGGGAGGAAAAATGTTTTTCCCTTATAATTGACCTACATGTTAGTGGCTAAATCGTTTATTGAAGTTAAATATAAAAGTGTTGGATGCGTCCTTTACAAGCACAAAGTAGATGGTGCATGGGCAAGAGTTGAAGTAATACAATAACAAGAGCTAGTGATCCTTTTGACTTCCAGTCATTCTACGGTTTGTGACTAAAAACTGTGTCTTCTTCAATTTGTCTTTTTAAGAGACTGACACTGTCTAATTTGAAATTTATTTTGATTATAACATTTGCCCGTGTGGATATACTTTCCTAATATTATTAGAAAGTTTGCTCCAGTATTTTATACGATTTGATTATTTTGGTGATCTGATAATCCAATGAAGCTTGTTCCTGTTTACATGTCCAATAAATAAACATGCTTGCCATTCTCCTTAGTTTTACTGCTCTTTTTCTTTGTAAGAATAGTCAAATTAATTGTTTCAAATCTTAAAGATATGGAACAGCAGAGTGAGACCATGCAGCATGAACAAAGCAGAGGTTCTATGTATTCATTTGTTACAACTGCTGTCTTCTTTTTCACCACATGTGTGTTTTTTATGGCTAGAGCCTATTGTTGTCTAAGAAATGTTCAGAAAATGTACTACATTTATCTGCCATATGCGAAATCAATTATGTACAAGATCTTCAAATTCCCAGGCTATGGGTCTGATGTGGAAATTGCTAAAGTTTATTGCTTTTTAATATTCATTTGTATGAGAAGTTTTAAATTAATAGCTTGTGTTTGCAGAAGTTTATGTTGAAGAAAAATCTTTCAGTTACCTTTATAATGAGGATGACATTGTTGTTCTTATGGAGTAAGTCCTAACTTATGGTCTTGATTTTGAGCTGTTGATCATCTTCTGAATTTATTCGAAGGCTTGATGATTATTTGTAATTATGCAGGCCTGAGACATATGCACAAATTAATGTTCCAAAGCACTTGTTTGGTGAATCTCTTCCATACCTCCAAGGTAAAAATGTCACATGTTTTATTATTTAGTTCCCTTTTCCTGTTCTACATTGCAGATATTGTAGAAATTTGTGTGTGCCAAAGGAATGTTTAAATTTTGGATGAAATGGCAGCTAACTTATTTGATTGACATGCTTAATGATTAGAAAATACACTTCATGGACCTCATGGAATGCAGATGATATGAAAGTTAAGCTGCAACTTTACGATGAGAAGCCGATGTCTGTGTCAATTCCTCCGAAAGTGACATGTACTGTTGCTGAGGCACAAGTTCCAATAAAGGGGTCTACAGCAACTCCTCAGTATGTTTATCACTTTTTAGATTGTAGGCCGAAAAGAACCTCAACATGTAGTATTCATATTTGTCCAGAACCTAACCAGGCATAGTTTATATAGATGCTCCTGCTCTGATGCTCTTTACATCTCATCTATCTTGTTCAGATTAAGTTGCTATGCAATATCTCTGGTCCTCCTTTGGTTGTCATTTTTCTGTCATTGCATTGCAACTTAAATAGCTTGCAGCTGTGTCTTCAAGTGGTTGTGCTTGCTTGATACTTGTAAGGATTTTGTCTCATCTGTAAGACTTCTGAATGCTTTGACACAAAATCTAGTATCCCTCAAGAATTTAGTTTACCTCAAGTTTTTCGTGTTTGAAGTTGGTGTACATATTTAAACAAATGTATAGCTCTTGCATAGTTTAAAATTTCTCACACAATTTTTCAGCCAAAAGCAAAATTTTGCTGGTGTTTCTTTGCATTTCTGTACTTCAGCAAATTTTTGTGTTGCATGAATATGCTCCCGTCCATAGTGTGTTCATGTTTGTCGGACTACAATTGATCTTCCAGTGGTTTAATGCTGGCATGTTTTGTATCAGTAAAGACGACTTCTAAGAGTGTGAGGTATCCATATCTTTGGATTTCTCTTAAATGCTAAAATTAGGAAATGAAAAGGGCGTAAGTTGAGAACTGGAAAAGAAATTTCTACCTGTATAGTCTGGTAAAGGCTTTGCATAATTGGAAAGGGTTCCTCTTGTTAAGACCATGTATTACTTACAGGAGATGGCCGGTTGGTTTACATGCAATTGGTATGTTTATTATTTATGAAACTAAATTTGTGATTTTGTTGCTGAGAGGGTACGGCGCTGGTATGTTGAATCAGCAAAATCAGTAACACATGAGAGCAAGAGATACAGTCAGGGAGAGTCTCTTTTGTTGAATTGGTAGCAGTGACTAATATGTCCTCTGAATATGAAATGACTTTGGTGGATATAAATCTTCTTTTAAGTACTACCAAAGGAATGAAAGTTTTAGACCAACAAGTAAGTCTTTGGCACTATGAGATTTGTTGAGAAAGTCAAGCTTGCTAATCTCCTAGTTCTGCTTCTTCCTTCTCTAATTCTGAGTTCCTAGTTTCTCATAATTTTTCACTTTTACAGGTATAAGAAGGTTAAGCTGGACAATGGTCTCACAGTTCAGGTGAGTTGATCGTGTTCTCACCTATGATTCATGATTCTTTTCTGACATTATTACTCTGTAGCCGCTACCAGATGTGATAAATTGCCACTATGTTAACCTAGCAAACGTGATGCAGAACCAACAATAAACAAATTTGTCTTGTGATGTTTAAATGGATGGATGCACTGTTGTAAATTGCAATTTGAGACCGATTTTCCTGTTAACCAATTTCTGAATGAGATTACTGGACCAGAAATGGGGAAACCATGTGAAAGAATGAGGTGAAGAAATGTGTTGACAAATAATAATCTGTGGATCTTGGCTTTTTACTTGTGAGTGACTACATTTGTGTGAATGTGATGGACACCACATTCGTCATGACTTCGGCCCAATAATGGAACCAAGCAAGCATTTTGGACAATGTTGAAAAATTGATGGAAAGTAATTGAAGTTGGTATTTAGAGCTTTTCTTATAGATTGCATACTTAAAAAGGTATAGTGAAGGTTTGCATATAATCATGTCCACTATAGATGGTCCCTTTTTTGGTTTTGGGGAGGAGGTAACAAGTGAGAGAAAATATGTAGAATACTTGCTTAGAATGAAATATTTGGAACGTAATTGTGCTATTGTTTTACTGGAGTGTTCTGCCTAAAAGATGAAATATCCTAGAGAGACTTGTGTTTGGCAAGGAAGAGTTTAGTCTCCTGAAATTTATTTATGTTTAAACCTGATTGACAATACCTGTGAAAAGAAGAGAGAAAGGATGTGCTCGTGAAACTTCTGGGGTCGTCCTTAGGATCCTAGGATTACATTTGGTAAGGAACTACTGAGATAGTCATAGCTAAAACAGTTATAGTAGAAAAGGGTGGGCAAGAACTCTGGGGCCAAGATCTTGGAAACTCTATGCTCTTTTGGAGGAGATGTGAAGGCAAAAAGCCGCCCTAGCAAAAGGAAAAGTACAGAGTTGCTTCAAGCAGTTCCTGTTTTTTTTTGCTCTGCATTTTTTCTCAGTTATCGCATGCTTATTGCATGCTTTGTTTTGGTAATACTGACACTTGGTGTTGGTTTACTTGGAGTTTTGCCTAATACATGTAATTGGGCTGATTTATAAGAAGAATCTTGTCCGTGACTTGGCCTATTCTAGGGATTGGTGAAGGGGAAGCATTGTATTATTTTCTTAGTGTTCTACACAAATAAATTTGACAAGGATTTCCGTAATTGTTCATATTTTGTTATGTTGCCACTTGCAACCCAGAATTGTTTTGATAAAACTTAGCATGTGGTGGCACTGTCAAAGTAAAGTAAATGAATAGATTGTTTTCTTACTCTTTTTATGTACCCCCGTTTCTGTAGGTACCATCTTACGTGTTAGCTGGCGAGAAGATAATTATCAATACTGCCGATAATTCTTTCATAAGCAGGTGAGTGTAATGTGTGATTCTTTTCCATGAGAAATTGAAACATACGTCATTTGCTACATTTCCTGGTCGTCTTGGCATCCCAATACATAGTTTTAGGAATTTCTTATTTCCTGTTAAGCTTAGTGCACTTTGACATCTCTATTCTTGTCACCTTTTGATAAATACCTAATAGATTAGGTTCAATTCAGATGTTTTCCATTCATTTTTCCTGCTTTTTGTGGCTGATATGTTAATCCATTATATTTCAGGATCTTAATATCGTGTGGTGTCTTTTATTTTGCGCATTACAGACTGTTGACTTTGGATATCCAAAGTATTTTACGTGCCACTTTGCATATTTCCTATGTACGTCTGACAGCACATTTTCGCGTTGTTTCGCAGGGCTTAATCTGGGCCCTTTTGAATGCTCTGGAGTTATCGTTCAGGATGGACCTTTTCTGCAGGCACTCGTTATATAGGATTACTTCAAATTTTGTCACTGTAGGTAATGATGGGTTGATGAGAAACAAGTGTTCATTTCGGGGTTATTGCGTATGCAGTATTTCTTTTCAATGAGAATGTTTTACATTTTGCATATTTATGAGAATCCCACTTTTCGACTTGTCGATCCGTATATTCCCCCAGTGGGAGGGAGGTGATGAGGCTACAGCTTTGTCCAGTGGTTTTGGAAAAGAACTCATGGATGGAGATGGGACCATTAGAATGGATTTTTGACACAGGTATTCATATTTGGATCAGCAGCATTGCATGGAAGCCAAATGCCCCAGCAATGTGCAAAAATGACTTCCCACAAATCATTGGTGTTGTATTATCACGGGTATTATTGATCTCTTCAATTGATTTGTGCTTCTTACCTAATCTTGTACATAAAACGTTTATCTTTTTTCAATAAAGAATCAACGTGAATCACCATGCATGATGCCAATCTAGCAAGTTTTAGTTTACTGGGTGAAATTGTTCAGCTTTTGATTTGACTTCCTTACAAAGCAGGACAAAATAATTACCAGTTGGACTAATCTAAAGCTACCATGGTCTTAAAACCATCCTACAGAACTCATAATCAACTCAACAGCACTTCTGTCATAACGTTTGAACAAAACTTGGCACTTCTCAGAGCATTTATTGAATGACAAAATTCTGCTGCGGCTTTCTGATGGATATTCCCCACTACCAAAAACTCCACGGATGGTCAGTCAGCCTCTGTAAGGCTCTTCCACATCGCAGAAATTGCTCTATTAGCTGGTACTCGTATTCTGTGTCATCAAAGTTTTTGAACTCAAGATGTAGGGCGAAGCACATAGGAAGAGCGTCCGGGAAGAGAGGCTCGAATTTCTCATGATCTTCCCTCTCAAAATTGAACTGTTAACACGTACTGAAGATTATTAGGGGACTTGTCGTTCGATCTAATGTATAATGGGATCAACTATGGTGTTGGAAGAGAATATTAATATTCTTTGGGAGAAAAACGGTTACCAGCTGCGCCCATGAGAGAAATGTCAAGCTTCTGGACTCCACGTTCAAGTCCTGCAATTATCAAGGACTCAATTTCCAACCCAAACCCTCCAAGAAAGAGAGAGACGTCGAGTCGAGAACTCCTGGTTGGAGCCTCATTTCTGAGTCTGAGGAGAATAACTCTTCGGCCAAGCTTATAACCTTGGTGAAGCGAACATGTTCAAGAGAAGCGTCGAAGTACTCTTGGTCACATTCATCGTGAAACGCGGGTAAGGATCCCCGGTACTGAAGGTCGATATTAGGAACTGAAGCGAAAATGTACCGCCATCTGGTGGATATAAGTAGAACTGAGGTGGCCGCTGCTAATTTTGTGGGGAGATGCGACAAAATGTGGCAGAGAACAGCATCAGGAAGACCACTAATCCTATCAACCATTCTTGAATGTCTTCGGACTTTCAACCAACTCTTTTATATAGACAATAATGTGGGGACTGAAAGAAATGCCTTTGATGAATTAGCCGGTTCGGTGGAGTTTAGTTGAGAACTGAGAAGCCAATCATATATGTTATATGTACTATTTTTCTTCCAAAATCTTGACTAGATCTCTTGGAATCCCTTCATCTTCCATCTGAGGAAGTGGAGATTTGCTTCGTTAATTACCAGTAATTTACCTGATGCATGGCACACTTCTTAATTAGCCTTTCGGTTTTTCCCAGGATTACAGATGCACGCGTCTCTAGAATTGTACTTTAACAACAACAGTTACGTTGTAGACTTGTAGTACTAATTATAGACGTGGAGAAGCCTTAGAAAAGGAGAAATCTACTGAGACACGAAAAAGATAAAGAACAGAATATCTTCGTCAAAGAAAAAGAAAAAGAAAAAAGAACACAGAATGTCACCCTAGTTACCAATTCCTTCAATAACCAATTTCTTGGTGATTAACAAAATGGATTGAAAAGCTCTGCGTTAATATTTAGACTAATTGTTTAAAACTTAAGGGTTTAATCAGAACAACAGCTTAGACTAATTGTTTAAAACTTGAGTGTTTAATCATAACAACAGCAGTGGCAAAAGTCACATTCACAACGTCCTCAGCAACACCCAGTGTCACAACAGTAACCAGTACCAAAACAATCACAACCAAACACAGCAACTGCAATCACAAATCCAATCACATCCCTGTCCACAGAAGCCACCACCACCGGCTTTGTCAGTTTCCTGCTGCTGCTGCTGCTTCTTGTTCTTGGTCTTTCGCCGCATGAATGGACAACATGGAAAGCATAAGCATGACACCATCTTCTTCTTCTTGTTGACTCACTATGACAATGTTAGAACAAAGCCCAGATTTTTTTTCTTCTTAAGGAATCATCAATTTTGTACTTACAAAACCTTGTAGTACCGTTTATATAACACTTTCTCCTGTAAAATAATTTCCTATGTTAATGTAATATTAGCATCAATTAGGATCACAAATTAAGATATTATCTGGTATTATTAGTATCAATTAGAATCATCAATTGGGATGATAATTAGGATCAATTAGGATCTCAATTAGGGGCTTACCTTGTATAATATTAATCTAGATTTATTCTGTATGCCTACATCAATGTTTTTAAACTCGGACCGGCCAGTGAATCGAAAAAGGGGTCGATTCACAGTTTGACCGGTCCTATCAGCCGATTCACCTGTTCTCTGTTTTTTTTCTTTTTTTCTTTTTTTTTTTCTTTTTTTGCAATTTTAGTGTTAAGTACTTCACAAGTCTTCACTCTACATTTGAACTTGGTGGCTGAGCACAATCTAACATGGTTATTGATAACTTTAAGTCCCTAAAATGCATTCATTAACATAATTAAAACTAAATTTAAGTTGAGATAATAATAAATTGCCTAAAAGTTATACATGAAACCTAAAATGATAAACATAACTAAAATATCATAATTTACCGCAAGTTTTCATAAATTCATTACAAACATAAATAGATATAGTCCAAATATTCACCAATTATCACAAACAAAAACACAAAAATAAATAAAATAAATGTTGACATTCTTTCACAATTTTAAAAAAGTCCATAAAAGAGTCCAAAGACAAACAATTTGAATAACAAACTTCCATCATTAGCATCACAAAGCAACGGCACCACCTTCACAACTTCATCAATTTAACCTGAAAAAGTTAAAAGTTTATTACAAAATATAAATTTAATTGTTCAAACTAAATCATCTTACAATATCGCATATGATTTTAATTTCAAATTTCAAGTTTGCGTTATATTTCCTTTGTCATCGAAAGGTAAATAATGAAATATGAACATTCATTCAAAAGATTCTTTGAAGGTCACACCTTATTAGTAAGCAAAGAGACTATGCCAAATAAGTCTCGGAAACCAAAAAGGCGAATGATTTCAGAATAGAAAAAGGAAAAAGAAACGTAATCCAAATTAGCTTCCATTGATGCTTCTCCTAAGCGAAATCTACATAAAAATTACTACAAGTTAGACACCAAAGATGAAAAAGGAAAAATCTGATTAGAACTCCAAAAAAATTATAAAATTATAGTAGTGGACAATACAATTATTAAAAGAGAATGTTATATCTTCTTAATACAAAACAATGTTTTAAATAACTTATGTCATAAACGGTATCCATTATCCTTCAAAAACGGCATCTCTATTGTCATGGACTAGTTGAAAATTTTCATTTGATTAAACTTTCTAAATATTTGTACTGTCAGGTTATCTTCTTGTAATTCATGCTTAGTTCCCTCTTTTTTTGTTTACCGTCTGTCCCAGCCGTGCCCAGTCAGCACGGCTGGGGACAGGCTGATTTTTAAAAAAAAAGTGGGCCTCTGAGTCAGCTTACAATATCCTTAAGGGCTAATTACTTAGAATATAGGTAAGAAAAAAAAGAGTCGGACACTTATTGATCTGACAGAAATCAGGTATAAATCTATTGTTACCGGGCTGACACAGCCCGGCACCTATACCAAATTTTTTTTAAAAAAGATGTCAGGTGCCGGGCTGACACAGCCCATCACCTGACCGAATTTTTTTTTTAAAACATGGCAGGTGCCGGACCAAATTTTTGACCTTATTAAAAAAGCTGGCAGAGCTACATAATTCCTAAAGCCAAGAATTCCTGCCCGTGTCAGACCTTGTAACAACTATTATGGAATTTTTTTTTTTTTTTTGCTAATTAGAAAAAACTAGGATCTGGCAAAGTAATGGAGAAATGTTTTGCAAAAATATATGGCATCTCGTCCAGATAGTTTAATTATCCTTTGATCTTTACAAACCATTACATGGCACATCTTGGAAAGTGGAAGATGCCGCCGAGTGCACTTACGTGTGCTTTCCCCAATGGTTTGAAAATCAGCATCAAGAATTTGGGGAGATGTAATTAAAGAACATTAGCGGTGGCTTAACGCAGTATCTCAACTTTTTGAGTGGATAAATAAAGCAGATTCCTATTTAATTTCTAGGTGTTTTATTGGAGTCAGGTCCGTTTGGATTCCTTATTTTTGCTTCTGTTTTGAAAAACTGTTTTTCACATTCCAAATGCTACAGTAAATGTGTATTTCCAAAACAACTCCAAAAACACCATTTCCAAACATTATATAAAAAACAACTCCATATGTATATTTCAATTTGTATATTTCAATTATGTATATTATATATATTATATTAATACAAATTGAAATATACAAATTAAAATATACAAATGAAAATTATATATTTATATATTATATAAATATTTATATAATGAAATATACAATAAATATTACAAATTGAAATATTATATAAACACCATATTTATAATATTATAATATTTATAATTAATATTAATGTATATTATATATATTAATATTTATATATTATATATAATACATTTATATATTTTTATATAAATATATAAATATATTTATTTATAAATGTATTACAAATGCTTAAATGTATATTTATATAAAAATATAAATTTTATAATTTATAATTTATGCATTTGTATAATATTCATTTATAATTTATACATTTATAATAATATACATTTATACATTTGTATATACATTATGTATATATATAATATAATACATTTATAATACATTTATATATTTTTATATAAATATATAAATATATTTATTTATAAATGTATTATAAATGCATAAATATATAAAAATATAAAATATAAAAATTATGAATTATAAAAATACTCAAAAATATGTTTTAAAGATACTTCTAAAAATAATCCAAAAAACATCTACAGTAAAAGTTTTTCATATAGTTTTTGAAAAACAACCCCAAAAACAACTAATCAAAACGGACTTGTATTTCAAAAATAAAATGCTACAATGTTGTTTTTGAAAAACAACCCCAAAAACAGCTAATCCAAACGGATTGGTTAGTGTTGCTTTATTTTACCAAGTATTTTATAATTGATGTATTATTTGGACCAAATATTAAGGAAAGACCACTTTTGCAATGCATGTGCCGAACAATGTGTAGATTCCCCAAAAATGTTTTGAGTGTACTTAAATACTAAGAAAGATACCGCGGGAGAGGGATGAATTCAATGTTACACATTTGCCATGTATATATATACATACTAATAATTATTAGCTTCTCTTGCATTTATATATTTTTTCTATTTAATCTTACATACTTTCTCTTGTATTTATTTACCTTTTCTAAATAATCTTATATTTTAAAAAATATGATATCTGAAATATATCTTAACTAATATTTAATTAGATTAATTGTTAGATCTACATGCAGGATTTGATTTCTTCTTTCCAGCCATTCTCATACTACTGTTCAATTAAAGGATGTTTCCTAGTTCTCTTGCTCTTTAATTCGGTGTCTTTAGCTCAATAGACGCATTTTGGAGATTAGGCCTAGAACTTACCTTCTATACATGCTTTAGTACAAATGCATGGAACTGTTTCTTCAATCGGTCAGGTGATGGTGTGTCAGCCTAGCACCTGACATCTTTTAAAAAAAAAAATTGGTGTCAAGTGCCGGGCCGACACAGCCCGGTACCTGCCATGTTTTAAAAAAAAATTGGGTCAGGTGACGGGCTATGTCAGCCCGGCACCTGACATCTTTTAAAAAAAAAATTTTGGTGTCAGGTGCCGGGCTTTGTCAGCCCGGCAACAATAGATTTATATCCACCATCTGTCAGATCAATAAGTGTCCGAATTTTTTTTTTTTACCTATATTCTAAGTAATTAGCCATCGTTAAGCCAGTAAGAAAGAGATGATGAGTTTTAGCTGCAAGTTGAAGGTTGGCTATATGCTGCAGATGCGACGACTTGTCGGCAAGAAGGTGTGGCTACGAATTGTCGGCAACTTCCAGGAAGTCACGGTAAAGCGGTAAAAGAAAATTTTCATTCCCGCAAGTTTTAGCCTCCACAGATTTTGCTGCCCTTAGTTGCCAAAGTTGAACCATATCCTTCCTTGTCTCATCGCAGAAAGCATCCCCCATCACCATTGCAGAACACTTTCATCCTAATTCCAATCCCAAGCGAGAAAAAAATGGCTGATGCCGCTGTTAGTGCTACTATTAAGGTCGCATTGCAGGCGGTTGTTTCCCTTGCTGCTGATCATGTTAATCTGGCTCGTGAATTCCCAACGGAGCTGGAGAGACTCAACAAATCTGCTGAAATGATCCGAGGCTTCTTGGCCGGTGCTGACGAGGTAAAACATAGCCATGATCCGAGGCTTCTTGGGGTGCAAAAGTGGCTCGAGCAGCTGGAAGAAGAGGTTTTCAAAGCTGACAATGTGCTGGACGAGCTCAACTATGAAAATCTTCGTCGGCAGGTGAAGTATCAAGATCAACCCATGAAAAAGAAGGTACTCTTCTGCTTTTCATTCTTTAATAAAATTGGTTTTCGTTGGAGGTTGGGCTCAATGATCAGGGGGGTCAACGCGAACCTTGAAAGGATCCATCGGGATGCCGAACGTTTGAGACTGCCCTCCAAGCTCCAAGTTGAAGCCACAACAAACCGACAGACCGACGCTACTATTGTTCGAAGAGATGTCCTAGGAAGAGACGAGAATGAATCAGAAATAGTTGAGAAGTTGTTGACCGAATCTGAAAGTGATCGTGTTTCAGTTATTTCCATAACTGGCATGGGTGGTTTAGGCAAAACAACTCTAGCTAAAGCCGTTTTCAACACTCCACAATTTGATAATGATTTTGACAAAAAATTTGGGTTTGTGTGGCTGAAGAAGTAGATAGAATCGAGAAGGTCTTCAAAATGATTCTTGAATCGTTAACAGGAGGAAAGGTTGAAGGGGATAATAGGCAAGTAATAGTTCAAAAAATTCAAGATGAACTCAAGGAGAAAAGATATTTGCTTGTCCTTGATGATTTGTGGAATAATAATCAAGATGGATTGTTGGATGACTTTTTCAACACTTTGGCGGGACTCAATGCGAAGAAAGGGAGCTGGTGTCTTGTTACTTCTCGGCTGCAAGAAGTGGAAACTATTCTGTCTAGACATCCGCAGATCAATTTTACTCGCCATGAGCTGGGAAGGCTATGCGATGATGTTTGCTGGTCTATCGTGAAAAATTGGGCAAATGTAGGGGAAGAAGTACCAAGAGGATTGGAAGACATAAGGGAGCAAGTTTTAGGAAGATGTGACGGTCTACCTCTAGCAGCAAAGTTAATCGGAGGTTTGTTATATATATAAAAAGACAAAAGAGAGTGGCTATCTATTTTGAAGGAGAGTCTCTTGAAGGGTGGGACTGAGCAAATAATTAAGGTGAGTTTTGATCATCTGTCACCTGCACCGGTTAAGAAATGTTTTGCATATTGCTCAATATTTGATCAAGATACTGAATTGGAACAAGATCTACTAGTTGAGCTTTGGATGGCTGAAGGCTTTCTTCAACCGGATTCCCAAAATGAAAGAATGATGGAGAAAATAGGATGTGAGTATTTGAGAATTTTGCTGCAAACTTCCTTATTGGAAGAAGTAAGAGATTGGGAGGGGAACCTGGTATAAAATGCATGACCTTGTGCACGATTTTGCAAAATCAATTTTGAATCATAACAGCAGCAATCAGGAGCGTTACCTTGCGGCATCTGAAAGAATGTTAGAAAACATGAACGAAAACAAATCAGCATCACTTCGCACATTATTTCTGGAGGGTGGCATAGCTGATGAAAAGTTATCTAAGTTCAAATACTTGCATGTCCTAAAATTGTTTGGAGCAGATGTCAAAGAGTTGCCGACCTCCATTGGCAAACTAATACATTTACACTTGACATTTCAGGTTCTTGGATTAGAACTTTGCCAGAATCTCTTTGCAAACTTTATAGCTTGCAAACACTAAGAATTGACAGGCTTGAAGATGGTTTTCCAAAGGAGATGAGCAGTTTGATTAGCATGAGACATCTTCACTGTGATGATTATTATACAAGACGCGAAATCCAAATGCCATCCGGGATTAGACGATGGACTTGTCTTCAAACGCTGGAGTTCTTTAACACCGGTCGTCAAGAGGAAGGTCGTGGTATCCAAGAGCTTGGAACCTTGGAAGATCTTAAAGGCTCCTTGGAGATCAGAAATCTTGAATTAGTAAATGGCAAAGATGATGCTGAACTGGCGAACCTATCTAAAAAGCCAAATCTGCATCGGTTGGTATTTGAGTGGGGCAATAGGATCGAGAAAGTGATAATTGTGATGAAGATGTGTTGGAAGGCCTCCAACCTCACCCAAATTTAAAAGAGTTACAAATTTTGAAGTTCATGGGTGATCAGTTTCCACAATGGTTCATGAATTTGACATTGACATCACTGGTGGAGTTGCGGGTGGAGGATTGCACAAGATGCAGAAAGCTCCCAGCACTAGGACAGCTGTCATTCCTAAAAAATCTCTCCCTTGAAAGCATGAAAAATTTGGAAGAGTGGAAGGACGCACACGAAATGATGTCAACCGCAGGTGAAGTAAATGTCATGGATGTGTTTCCCGTGCTGGAAACGTTGTCTATTAGTGATTGCCCCCAGCTAACTCCAAGTTGTTTCCCAAGTCTTGATGTATTGGAAATCAGAGGGAATTGCCACGTTTTGCTGGCAGAAAAGGTTTTGAGCAATATAGCCAATCTCTCGTCCCTTCAATTAAGGGGTGGTCTTAGTCAACCCATAGAGTCTCTAGAATTAGTGAGACGACCAGAGAGCAGCTTGAGTATTGATGGCTGTAACAGTCTACTCACTGACACGCTTGAGCGACTCTGTCTTTTTCCAACTCTTCAGCGTGTAGAATTGGTGTCTGCCAATAATATAACAACATTAAGAGGAATGAGTTGCGCCGCTTGTCTTGAGAGATTGGCAGTCTATGCTTGTAAGAATTTACGGGAGTTGCCAGAAGCTCTTTATCAATTTCAAGCTTTAGAGCACTTGGAGATACGGGGTTGCTCGAGAATTGATTCATTTGGATATCCAAATCCTAAAAATTCATTTGGACAGAAAGGCCTCCTTAAGTCTCTTGAGCGATTTACTGTCGTTGAGTGCGATGCATTGACAAGGTTACCAGCGGAGATGTTCGAGTCGTGTACGTCTCTCCGAAAGCTGAAGTTGTCCGATTGCCGCAGTCTGGTCTCCTTTCCCCTTGATTTGCGACGAACCCCTTCTCTCGAGAGCTTCAAATTATTCGACTGTCCCAACTTGATTGCTGAGATGCCTAGTGGATTTGGCTATCTTACCAGCTTAAGGGAAGTGAAGATTGGTCCCTTCTCAGATGACTCAGTAATCGAATTTGATTGGGCTGGATTAGCATCTTCATCATCACTCCAACACGTGTCTTTGAATGGAATGCCTGACACGAAATCTCTGCCACATCAGCTTCAAGACTTGACTACCATCACATCACTGTCTCTAAATGACTTCAGAGCAATCGAAGCCTTACCAGATTGGCTTGGGAACCTTGCGTCTCTTGAAGTCCTACGCCTGTGGGGTTGCAAAAAGCTTGAATATTTACCCTCCGTAGATGCCATGGAACGCCTCAAATTAAGACGTCTGGAAATTAGTCTTTGTCCTCTATTAGCCCAAAGATGCACTCCTGAAAGCGGCTCCGAGTGGCCCAAGATCTCTAATATTCCGGAGCGTGATATTATTGTTCCGGTAAGATCTCATCTCAAAATTTTAATTAATTGCTTCTCATTCTTATTGGATCATCTTATTCTACCCGTATTTGTCCCTCACTCTTTTTCTCTGTAAATATCTATTCCTCTACTTCTTCTGGCAAAAGATTACTCTCTCTTCAATTTTTAAGCTAATTCATGTCATTATAACATGCATATAAGAGTTTCCAAAAAATTTGAAAAATTACTAAAAATAGGAAAACACCATAACCATACATTAGTATTGTGGAATTAGTATTGTTGAATACCTACACCTGTAATCATATGGAAAAGTCTGAAGTAACGATAGTTATGGTAACGAAACTGTTTTTACCTGATATAACAGATAAAAATACTTTTAGCGACCATTTGATTACCTGTTGTACTGGTCATTTAAATAAAATAGTACCTCAAATTTTGGTTAGTAAGTTTTACATAAAAAATAGTAAGTTAACTCAATAAATTAGTAACTTTTATGCCTCAAAAAGTAAATTTGAATAAATATGGAACTTACTTTTTTTTAAAGTAAATTACTACTCTATATCTGAAAATTAGCTTTTGGAGAGTAAGTTTAGTTCAAGTAATAGTAAGTTTTTATAGATTAATAGTAAATATTATTGATAGAATAGTAAATTTGGTTAATCATCAAAACTTACTAGTTTGTGACAGAAATTTACTATTTTACTTAAAGAAACTTATATGAAACAAGTATTAGGAAGTTTATTTGAAATAATGCTAAGATTTTTTTATTAATAATTGAAACTTAGTATTATAGTTAGTAATTACTCGTAATGTAAATATATGATACACAATTATATGTATCATTTATAAATGTTATATGTTTTAAGCTTTTTAAATATACTATGAAACTTTTTTTTTTTTGCATATGACCTTATAAAATATGTAAGAATAATTTGTCATATTATAAATTTTGAATTATTTTTGAATTTGTGAAAAGTTAGAAAGATTGGATGACAGTAACAACAAATCTTTCGAGTTATATATAGAATTGCACTTATCTGTACATCACCATATTTTCTATAGATGAATTTTATGTAAACTGTTAAAATTATGAATTCATGAACGACTAAATCTGACTACTTTATGGCATATATTAGTCTAAAGGACTAAAAAATTACTGTAATCATGTGCACGTTGATTGTTGAATTGAAATTTCCTTTATTACTAGTACAAGTTATTCTAATCAAAGCAAAATAAAATAAAACATCTTTTCCTATTGTTTGCAGTAGTTATGTTTAATAGAAAATTATAAAAACATTTTTACAATACATAATTTCTCCTAAAATTAGTAACATTTTCCATGACCTCTAACCTTGTCAATAATACTAACCACCGATATGTAGATAATCTTAAAAGCAAAAGCCATCAATATGACAAAAAAGAATGTTTTCATGCTGAACAAAAAAAAATTGCGATTCTATATAGAATCGAAGAAATTCATCATGAACAAGAATGAATTACAAAGTTATCACATTTCTAATTTCATGTGCATCTAGAATTTCACGCAGCATTAGTTTAGAAGAACTTTCCTTTTTCACACTAAGGAACCAATCCCAATCTCTACGTCTCTTTTATTTTTTTTCTTTAACTATTAAATGGGGCCAAAGTTGTTAGCAATAAAATACTAAATAAATTTAATTCCATTTCAAACTCTAGTTAATTGTATACTAATATTTTACACCACAATCAATTGAGCACCAATTTTTCTTTTTTTTTAAGTAGCTATTATTTATTTTATTACTTAGATTAAATATTTACATATAAAATAATAGCAATAAAATGCCAATCCTTGGATCAATGGTTAATAAAACTAATTTTGCATTGATAAAAATTAGTCTACAGAATGAAAAGTCAATGGCAACAATTGCTAAAATATAGCAATTTTTAATTATGGGAAAATAAACAACTAAGTTCCCAAAATATTTCACTTTTATTGTTTAAAAAATCTCAACTTGTTGACTAAATTCAAAATAATTCTATTGTCAAAAATATTTTTTTCTCAAATTAACTTTCATGATTAGATGTGAGATACAAATATGGTAAATATCCCTCATACGTATGTCATGGATATTTCAGACTTTTAGGAAAAAAAAATTTGTTCTTAAAATAACATTATATCATAGTGTACTAATTATTTTAGGACCATTTTATACGTGAACTAAATTTAGTTTAAATTATACAATAGATTATATATGCATGTGATTTTCATTTATAATTATTGGATCCTATTCTTATGAACAATCTCCAAAGGAAAAAAAAATGCAGATCATACTGATTTCCTTATATTAATTGTTATACTAATTTTGTCATTATTATTATTATATTATTTCTCATTTTGTTTAGACTCTTACTCTTATTATTTCTTATGTCTTAGATGTAAATTTATTAAAATTTTATCATCTTATTATAGTCATAGGTGTTAAATTATAAAAATTTTGATATATAAACAAGTAATATTCTATATATAACTAGGAAGATTTGTTGTTATTGTTATCCAAACTTTCAAACTTTTCAAAAATTGAAAATGATTAAAAACTTATAATACGACAAAATTTTATTACATATTTTACAAGATTATGTGAAAAGTCAAACTATTTTTCATAGTATTTTAAAATATAAAATTTTTTTTAAAATTATACCTATAATCATGTATTATACAGGTATATTATGAGTACTTACTAACTAAGGCACTAAGAATTAATCATTAATAAAACATCTTATCGTTATTTCAAATAAATTTTCTAATACTAGTTTGAAATATGTTTTAAAGTAAAATAGTACATGTGTCCCATAAATCAGTAAGTTTTGATTATTAATCAATTTTACCATGTTATCAGTAAGAATTACTATTTATGTATAAAAACTTACTATTACTTGAATTAAACTTACTCTCTAAAAAGTAACTTTGGGATATAAAATAGTAATTTATTTATTTAAAAAGTAAGTTTAATATTTATTCCAATTTACCTTTTGTAGTATAAAAGTTACCAATTTATTACTGTTAACTTACTATTTCAGATGGGAAACTTACTTTTTTATTTTTAAGTGTTATCCTATTTAGGTGATAGGTCTATCAAATAATCAAATGGTCGCTAAAAGTAAATCAAAATAAATCGAAAATGGTCATATAAGTGTTATCCTATTTACGTCTCAAAAAGTAAATCGAAATAAAAATGAAAGTTACTTTGTTTAAAAATAAATTACTACTCTATATTCGAAACTTATTTTTTAGAGAGTAAGTTTAGTTCAAGTAATAGTAAGTTTTTATAGATTAATAGTAAATCTTGTTGATAGAATAGTAAATTTGGTTAATCATCAAAACTTACTAGTTTGTGGCATAAATTTACTATTTTACTTAAAGAAACTTATATGAAACAAGTATTAGGAAGTTTATTTAAAATAATGCTAAGATTTTTTTATTAATAATTGAAACTTAATATTATAGTTAGTAATTGTTGGTAACGTAAATGTATAATACATGATTGTATGTATCATTCATAAATGTTATGTGTTTTAAGCATTTTAATAAATGTATGTATCATTTATAAATGTTATGTGTTTTAATAAATTTATTTTCTAGGTCACAAGTATAAAAGTTAAAGTTGTACTAATGTAGCATAATCTTTGAAAATTATAGTAAATTTACCCATATATTAAGTTTTGTGAGTTTCAAATATATTTTGTATCATTTACAATATGGATTTATATGCACATTTTTATCAAAATTATTTTTAATTCGCAAATAGTATGTAAATTATTATAAAATGTCATTTTATAATAATCATAAATTTATAGGTGAATGGTCTATAAACTGCTAAAATTGTCAATTTATAAATGAGTAAATCATACTACTTTATGGCATATATCAGTCTGATCAACTAAAAAATATTAACTTAATTAAGTGCACGTTGGTTGTTGATTTGAAAGTTGTACCCTTGTCACTATTTCGTTATTACTACCACAAGTTTTTCTATTCAAAGTAAAACAAAATAAAAAATCTATTTCTTTTTATATGCAATATTTATGTTTAGTAAAAAATTAATATACCATGATTACATTTCATAATTTCTAATGAAATTAGTAACATTTTCTAAATAAATTGGAATAGTTTGTAAAACATGTTATTTTTTTTACCAATACAATCAAAAGAAATTTGCACTCTTAAAAAGCAAATGGGAAGAAATGACGATGGCATAAGTATAAATGTAAACAACAATATACATATCACACCATGAGTTTAGGTTTGATTTGTTCAAAACATTAGTAATTTATTTGTTAGTAGATATAAAATGCTACATATGAAAAATACAATTTCATATATACTAACCATTAATAGAATATAGTTTGAACACGATCAATTGAGCTCATATTTCATTTGTTTAGTTATCATTTATTAATTTCATGAAGTCATCTGAAGTGGAACAAATGAGTAAATGATAACCTTCAGGATTAATAAATGAGTAGCTCGAAAACCAGAGGGTATTGAAGTTTGATTCTGCATTTCCATTTTAAACTGGAAAGGCTGAAGACTTTTTTTTTTTTAACAGGAACATGCAACGTTGATATCAATTACATTTTGAGCTTAAACAATCCACAGGACTTGAATCTTTCTAAATTGTACAGAAGGGACAATCCCTTCTAAAACCATCAAAGCCTGCATTACAATTCATCAAAATATTCCATGGTCTGATTTGTCATTAATCCTTGTTGACAACTGCTGCCGCAAATTCTTGGTGTCAAGATTCCCCAGTTGCAATTGTTTGGTTCTCACGGCATTGTTGTGGGCTCCACCTAGTGATTGTCCTTTCTTCAACAATGTAACAATGTTACATTCTCTCCACATTTATCAATATTAACAAGCAACAATGTCTTTGCAACACTGCCACAAAGTCAAGTGTGCAATGATAATCAGACCAAACCATCAAACGCCCATTTGTTTCACCATTGTTATCAGACAAAAACAATCACAGCATACTCTGAATGCACCAAAGATGGATGATGCTGGTAGGCGATAAAGTCCACACCATACTGTGATCATGATCTAACCACCCAATTCTTCATCCACTACAACAAAAATGGCTTTTCCTGACATATCTGTAAGGACACTTGTTGGTTTGTGTCATTATAACACTCCTATCATGACACTTATTAGCAATTCAATAATATATAGTCTAATTTTTTTATTTTATTAGATATAAAAATAATAATGTGCCTTTAGACTATCTAACATGACACTTGAGAAAATGTGAGATATACCAAAAAAAAAAAGACACTAAACGGCATCGTTTGATTTTGGCGGAAGATTCATTCGCTCTAAAACACTCAAAATTTTCATTCTGCCGGCCAAAACACTTACTCAAAACACTTGCTCAAAATTTTCATTTTCCAGCTTCACCATTTCCAGCCCCCTCTCTCTGTCTCTCTATCTCTCTGTTGTCAGATTCCGATGTAGTTGGTGGAAAAATGGGTAGCAGCCAAGCAGCAGTTTCCATAAAGCTTCAACCGTGGCTCCCTCAGGCAGCTAACAGCAGCATCAGCAACAAAATCTCTCTCGAAGGAAACCCACTTTCAGGTCATCATCTTCTTTTCTCAAATTCGGCTCAACAAATTTCTCCCCCGACTTGAATAGTTTATCGAGAATTGTCTTTCAAGTCCAATCTCAATTTGCCCTTTTGGCAAACTTCCTGGTTCATTGGCTTACTTTTACTAATGGCAATCTCGTTTTTCGGTCTCGCCATTTTCCTTTTTCTTACCCTTGACTCCGATTTCACCTCTTCCCCCGTCTCTACAGCTTCCGAAGGTGTCTAGGTAAGCCAAAAGCCCACTTACTACTTCAAATTCGTGGTTTTTGCGTTCCTGTAGTTGCACAGATATGCAGTGCATCTTTGTGTGTGTGTGTGTGTTTTTCCCCTATTTGTTGAAATTGTACGCGGAACGTTGTTTTATAGTTATTTTTGGCTCAAAATTTTGACCAAGTTTGTGCTATTATAGGCATGTGATGGTTATAAATTATAGCGCTTCAGAAGTTTATAAGCTAAAAGAGGACAGGGAAAGAGGAAATGGAGTTGTTTGTGTAGAATTAGTAATAGCCTTCGACATGTTTGATGAAATGCCTCGATAATCTTTGTTGAAAATCTAGTTGGTGTCAGTTAAAATTTGCTATTTGGATTTTTTAAAGAGCTGATTTATGAATTAAATTTGATTTTTTTTCCTGTTTTATAGTTTGAGGTTTCTGTTGTGTGGCGAAAATAAAAAATGGTGTATGATGCTTTGAGTTCTAATAGTTGTATAATGGGGCTTTGTGCTAAGTCATTCTTATTTTGTTCGGCATTGTGATTTTGGTAAATTACTTATGGGTCAGTGATCATGTAGTTGACGATTACTTATGGCTGGTGCACACCTTTTTGTACAGTACATTACCGGTTTAAGCCTAGCTACCAAAAGCAGCATTCTGTGGACAATATCTTGTTCTGTGGTGCAAGAACAAGCTGTGGTAGATGGCTTTTTCTTCCTTTAACTGATGCTAATCTTTTTGTAGTCTTTTAACTGATACTGTTCTTTACAATATATCCCATTTAGCTAATGAGTTTAAGATGAAAATATAAATAAAGTTCAAAGTATTATTCTCATTAGCTGGACAAAAATGTAACATCTAGTCCTCTTATTCAGCTTATTGGGTTGCAAGTGTTACGTTCATGAGAATTACAGACTCATGACACTGCGTTGCCACTATTCACCAGTCTATATGATTTTGAGAAAATCAAGGATTAAACAATAAACAAACCCCATCAACAAATCAACCAATTAGAAGGGTGATTTTGATATCTAGCTACTGGGAACTTTTGAAAAGTACTGTGAAAAATCAGCTTGTGCCTGTCTGACCAAGTGTTCATCTTCCCACTGGTCTCTGTATGTCTCAGGCTGAGACCTCTTTCTCATGGAAGTTTCAACATACATCTGCTTTCTCCATTATTCAGTCGGCAGACAACCACACTGAGCAGCCAACCAATCGTCATATTCGAACTGGCGATATAAAACAACGCATCAGTTGAGTTGGGCAGAAATTAAAAACTCTAGACTAGGTCCATGGAAAAGCAAGTGCAAAGAGGGTCACACTGGTGAAAGATGACAATGAAGAGCTGCAGCGAAATCAAATCAGCAGGAGGTGAGCATTTTCTACTTGATAACCAGCCATGTTATGAGTATACCGCTTTGGAGTGCCAGATGCTTCCATTGATGAGTAGAAAGCTTGAATATCAGCCATCATCTCCTTGGGAGAAGGAAGTGAAAGCCGACCACACAGAGTACTAGCTATCCACTTGCTCTGAAATTCAAACAAGGGGAAAGGTACAACCTAGCAGTCAAAGGGAAAAAAAATCGCTTTTATCAATTAAATGCATTATCAACCAGAACAGTTCATAAACTGAGAACATGGAATATTTACAAAAGACCTTCCACGGCAACCCAACGAATGAAAGCCATGGCGTTAAAGCTGGAGGAAAAATATGCTTGTAAAGTGGCCCCACACGGTTATCATCCACAGCTACAATGCCATTAATTTCAAGGAACGGAAAGTGATATTTGTACCTTAAAGAACATGAATAATGATTTATTGCAAATCGTCAACTAGAATGGCCAGTTAATGGACCTTTTTTGAAGTCATTATGATCTCATCGCATGAAATAATTTTACCTTTCTTTGTTATTTGATTGTTGCCTATGAACATTTTGTGTGCTTCCAGTTAATTGATCTTTAGGAGAGTCATTCTAGATTTATTGTCCCATAACAATCTTTAGCTAATATATTATGGTTTTCTTTTGGGTTGGCAGACCACACTTTTGGATTACATCAGGAAAAGCAAGGTATGAATCGATTATTTTTATTGATGTTCACGTTGAGGTACATTATTTGTAATGCCATTATCATTTGATGACTTTAGAAGAAGTACCTTATTCTGTCTTATGTTATGATACTTGAATAGCTGGGAACTAAATCTTAGACAACCTACTGTAGGTGACAGCATCTGAAGCAGGTGGAATTACTCAAGGCATGGGGGCATACAAGGTACAAGTACCTTTTGATGGCAAGCCACAGACTGGTGTTTTCCTTGACACCCCTGGACATGAGGTAATTAATGATGTAGCACTGGTTCTAACTTTTAACTGCTTATTCATGCAAGTTTTTTTCTTTTTTTAAATTTTTATGTCAAATGCTCTCTTGGAGATTTTGCAGACATATCTTAAAAGGCCTTTGTCAAGATGAATTATCTAACATAACTGTAAAAATGGTTGGATAGGCATTTGGAGCAATGAGAGCTTGTGGAGCCAGAGTAACAAACATTGCTGTTATTGTAGTTGCTACTGATGATGGAATTCGACCTCAAACAGAAGAGGCCATTGCTCATGCCAAAGCAGCTGGAGTGCGAATTGTTATTGCTATAAACAAAGTGCGCTTGCATTTATTCTGAGATTTTCCACTGTGTGTTGGCTTGTATATCATTTAGTCTCATTTGCATTTTGCTTTTGATGTATGAAACATGATGACAAATCTCCTCTTGCTTATGGGAGTTGGCATTTTCAGTTCTCATAATCACGATACTGCTCAAGTTTGATGTTTCTAGATTTTTGCATCATAGCATATTATCTTATATGCATTCTGTTCTTTGGGATAATTTTAAAAGTCCTTTGGGTTTCTGATTGACAGAATGTATAGCAGGGAGCACTACCTGCAGGTTGCTTCTATCTTAAAAAAAAAAAAAAACTCCTGACAATTAAAAGTGTCAGCATAGAATTCGATATTTTAATATTGTATTATACCTATCCTGACACTTTCAATTATCAAGAAAAGGGATTTTGTTGGCAGATGGAATGTTATAACAGCATAGTTTTCTTGACATGTTGAATAGTATGAGTCTATCCCCACATTGGAAGGGACAACACTCGCCCTAGGTGTGAGGATAGATAAAGTGTCAAGTTAAATTATCTATACTGCATTTTTAAATGTCGTTAAAGCCATTTTTGTTGTAGTGGAAGATGAGAATAAGATTTGAATAAATTCGTAACATTTTCCTTTTTGGACATCATGTACATCCACAACTCTTCACTATCAATTTCACAATTATTTTCGTTGACAATTTTGATGCATTTTAGGACATAGAAGAGGTAAAAAGCTTCCTCCAGACCTAATTGGAACACTGCTTATCCTCTCTCAGCTGTGACTACCGGGCGGCCAAACAAGCTCGACTAAGTAGATCAGTTTGTTTGGCATCTGCTTGGAAGAGTACGCTCTGACTTTTGAAGACTTAGGAAGCCTTCTTTGAACGTATATTGATCACCAGTAAATACAAAGCCACATGCTTTGACTTTTCTGAAACCAGGATATATATATATATATATAAATATATATATATATATATATATACATATATGCTTAAAAGCGTCCCATTAAGGCTTTCTTAACTACAACTTCACCAAAGAAGCATCTAGAACAGACACTGCATTTATTAGCCGAACACATTGTATCCCCATTTGACGAAAGTGTATCCCGAAAGCTTATTGCTATGGAATTCAGATCGAGTGTCTTCTTGTATGCATAATAGTTGAATTTCATCAGAAGATAATTTGTCAAGCCGATCAATAATGGTTCTCCAACTTATACCACCACCATGCTTGGGCGATTTGTTAGATAACTGTACTAGCTCATCTACATGAACTGTCATTTCTTCATTTCAGCATGATGCTAGAAGCTATCATATCAAAAAAGCTATCATGTCAACATATGTGTTGCTGTATGCTTTCTGAGATTTTAACTTAAATTCTTTGTAGTACATATGAAATATTGCAAACTTTGGACTCCTACGCAATCCATACTCAGCTGATCATACCTAAAGATTGCAATCCTACGCAACCCATACCCAAAGATTGCTGAAAGTTATCTCAAATTGCATCCCTGTTTCATATGTAAAAGTTTAAAATTAATAAACACGGATTTAAATGATTTATTTAATAGTTTTTTCATCTGATTTTTCTTTTAGTCTTGAAGAAATAGAAATTACCGAACAAATTTGTGCAGTCAACTTGTCCTCTTAAATTATGCATAAGATCGAACTTTTGTATGCCTAATGAACACTACATAGTTAGAAGTTAAAAGCTGTTGCATTTGACAAAAAATTACTCTATTTGGGTCGGTGGTTTGAATTCAATAAAGCATTCAGTTGAATGGATTTGGTGGATTTGGAAGTTAAAAGGCTTGTTGCTTTGTGCTTTTAACCCCGTACAGGCATCAATCATATAAACAAATTTCTTTTTGACATTTTAGCAAACAGCTTATATGCATTCCAGAATTAACTGCTTTCCCATAAATGCCGACACCTACTATGTTTCACATACAGGGTCTAAGTCATTTCCCATACATTTTTCAAGTTGACAATCAAATCAAATGAAAGATAAACAAATTAAAGCAATATAATGAAGCGATTTTCAAGAAACATGATAGTCTAACCTTTTGGCGGTTATTTTTTATCCGCTCTCTTGCTTGATACCACCACCCAACCTTAATAAAATTCTCAACCTTTTTGCTGGGTCTGCATATGCCCGATCGATCAGGAAATAGAGATGGAAAGTGTGGACTGAAAAATTTTGCAAGGAAAAAATTTCTATTCCATCATGTCCTGAGGTGAGAAAATAAAAAGAAGGCAACCAACTTTGGAGAGGCAAAACCGTTTCAGAAATCGGTGTTTTTTACTTAAGTATGGAAATTTTTTACTTTTAGTATTAGTAAGTTTAATTTAAACAAAAGTAAATTTTGTCAAATAATAAGTAAATTAAATTACTCAAAGTGTAAATTTGTATTTCTGACTAAAACTTATCTTTTAGGCACATACTTACTAGTTTTAATTAAAAACTTACTAAAGTTAATATTAATTAGTTTAATATAATATTGGGTAAATTACATTTTACCCTCCCGTGGTTTTCGCAAAAGCCACATAACCCCCCTATGATTGTAAAAGCTATACATAAACCCTCTATGATTTGGGTTAAAGTGTCAAATAGACGGAAACTACCTATCGTGACGATTTGTGGGCGAAATGTCTAAATTACCCTAATATAAATACAAAAAAGGCAACAACGAACACGGCCTGGGCTTTCCTTTCCTTTCATTACTTCTTTCTTCGCGTCCGCAACAGTCAAAGTGGTGGAAGGCCCACCAGAGTCAAAGGCAGAGCTTTCTGCACCTCTCTTCAAGAGATAGGATTCCGGTTTCCGCATCTTTCTTTCTCCCATGCTTTTTCGTTGGTCAACTACCAAAAAAAACGATTTCTGAAACCAGAGCTCTAGTCATGGTTTCATGCTGTATGGGAGCTGCTGATTGTCCCTGTCTAGGCCCCCACCAGTGATTCCATACTGCCTTTCTCCATTGTTACCTCCGCTGCCATGACCAGTACTACTGCTGCCATATCTTAAGCCAGGGCCCCTGCACCAGCCCCTACCGTAGCCATAGCTGCTGCCCCAACTCCCTTGCCTGCTGCTTGCACCAGGACCATAGCTACCACCATTCCATCCATCACCATTACTGCCGCCATCTGGACCATATTTACCGCCTGGACCACCATCTCCACCCTATCCGACCCACCACCATTACCACCTACAGAGCCAAATCTACTGCCGTCACTGCTGCCTCCGCTTCCAGCCCCATAACCACCACCATTACCATCTACAGAGCCATATCCATTGCCGTCATTGAAAGAGATAAGGAGCACAGATCTAGGCTTTATTGGATCTGTTAAAGTGATCAAGGGTAATATGGGAACGTTTCTTACTGTTACCAGTAGTACAAGCGCGTGTAAGACACGAATCGTCACGATGGATGTTTTCCGTCTATTTGACACTTTAACCCAAATCATAGAGGGTTTATGTATAGCTTTTACAATCATAGGGGGGTTATGTGGTTTTTGCGAAAACCACAAGGGGGTAAAATGTAATTTGCCCTATAATATTTAAAGAGTCGCTAAAAAACTTAATCTGTCACTAAAGGTAATAGAAACCTATAATAGTAGGTTTCCCTAATATCGTTATCATAACTATAGGCACTGTAGCATTGTCCGTAATCATATATAGTCACTAATTATTTAAATACAGTAATGCTGCTATAACCATACACCTGTAGCATTGATAGTAAATGATTTTAGCATCGAGTATACCTTCCATTCCTATTTTATTGACATTAAAACTTAAGTATAAGATCAAAACCATCATATAACACAGTAAGAATCCCAATACACGAAAGAAGTAGTAGTGTTTTGCTGTTATACCTAAATTTCAACAGTTAATTTTCTTTTTTCGCTTATTTTCAATTATATTCCTAAAATTCATTTTAACATACATTAACTTATCCAAATAATTGTAACATACTTTCTAAATTAAAACTTAGATAAAAACAACTAACATTATACATACAACAAATAATTATCAATCTGATACAACTACTTATATTGTTAAGAATATGTAAAATAAATTTGCAAATCACATGACTAATATACTCTATTCTAAATCTAGAAAAAAATCATAAATTAGAACTAAAATCATTAGCAATTACAAATAAATAAAGAAATTCATACAAATAAATTAACAAATCTTTTCTGAAATAGCCAATATGTACTTCTGAGGTTTCGGCCGAACCAAAGTAGTGTCGGAAAGAAACACATTCAAAAGTTGAATTGATTCGTTGAAAGCCCATAGAATTTGGATGTCGAATTGATATCTTTAAAAACCATGTGATTTTTACCGCTAGCATTTAACGGGTGGATATGTTCTTAATATTCACTGTTATCTCTCTGTAAGACTCTGAATTATGATTGCCGTAAAATTAGCTCAATGTCCATTCAGTTGAAATTGTTTGCAGAGGAACTAGGCTGCTGTTAAAACTATAAATTCTTATCATCTTTTAAATTTTTAAAATTCAGATACTATAACACTGAAAAGCTATTGACATCCATTACCTATTTCTTTCTACAAACGGTTATCCTTTTCTGATTTTTGTTTGGTCCAAAGATTTTAGTCAGTCAGGAGAAATCAGTCGGCTAAAAGAAGTTAATAAGAGAATTTATGAATGCTAGTACATGAATATAAATTTTGTATTTTTTTCTTCAGATTAGTTTGCCAAACTCTAGTTTAGAACATCATTGTATAAAGAGACGAAAGAGTATCATCTTACTCTTCCTTTAACATTTGGTTAAACATTTAGCTTTGATAATCACTTTATTTTCAGAAAGAATCACAAGGACAATTTATGCAAATTCGATTGACTTTTGCTACCATTACTTCCTTCTGGGTTTGTTAATGCTCTGTTTTTTAGCCTTTCATTTTTGGTTATCTAGTAGATTGGTGATTTTTCCATCCTATTTGCATAAGGACTTGCTCATGATAAAATATTTATAGAAATATCTATTTTAGCATTTTAGACAAATGTCTCATGGGCTATGTTGGCACATGTACAAAGCAGTGATTTCCAAGCAAAAATGTATGGATGGTGATGTGGTAGACAATTGTTCTCTTAAGGAGTGAAGATCAATCTTCTAGGAAGCAATAGGTGACAGAGTAGATGAAGAGGTATGTAGTCTCAATGAATTAAATTTGAAGGCCTACGATGTTTCTGTTGCTGTTGCCTTAACTTCAAATGAATCACATACAAAAGCTATGCTCTGAATTTAGTATGCGTTTTTTATGGCTGAACCGATGTAATTCTGCTTAATATTTGCTCTTTAGAAATTTTTGTAATACATTCTTCATAAGTTTTGATGGTTCAACGTGGCTAACATGGTGGTGTTTTTTTCCTGAATCTATTTAGGAAGCAGACATCATCTCGTTGGAAAAAGAACAACATGGTTCCCTGTCGTTTTTGTGAGAATGTCAAAAGGAAGAAATTACTGTCACTCGGCAGGCAAGTTTCGCAGATGAAGATGGTCATCAATTATAGTTATTTTGCTCATTAATTTGCACTAGCATTGATGGAGGCCTCTCAAACATCATGCAGAAAAACTGAAAGTGTTATGGTTCTGTAGTGCTCGGAATGCAGAAATGAAGGTAATGATTTGGCTAAACTTGTACAATAGTTCTGACATACTAAGCTTCCAAAAGCTTAGGTATCACACACATTAGTTAATATTCATGGGAGCCACCCCAAGTCAAAGCCGCAATATGACTATGTAACAATCTCATTGAATATTGTCCACGAAATTGGAAAACAAACTTTTCTGTATGCCTATATAGATAGGCACTATATTGTTGTAGAAATTATGGAAACTTTTCTCTGCCAAATATTTCTTCCAACAAGATATCAAGAGTCTTTTGCTTAAACTCTCCATAGTTCTTCGTTTCTCATTCCCTCAAAAAAAAAATTTCTGTTGGTGTTTCAATTAGTCAATTTCTAGTCGGTTTTTCAATCTTGCATGCACAGTCTGTCAATCTCTATCATATGCCAAGCATGTTCATGTTTTGCTTTTGAAGTCAATTTAGTTCTCTAATCAGTATAGTGCTTGACGGCATCGTCATTTGACCAAATCTAGTTCGCTTTATCTAGTTCATCAGTACTATACTGTTATTTGTCCACTCCTTTGTGTATATTTTTGGTTATTTGTCATCTCCAATGGCTCAAGATGATGTTTCTCAAACCTATTTATATTATTCTTGATGGCACTAACTATTCTCATTGGGTCCAAGCATTCCAAAATTTTATCACTATCCTTGTTGCTGTTGAAGGAGAATCTTCTGAAAAATTTAACACTCGTTTCAAAGAATGGGACAGTGATAAATTTGACTTACCAATACCTCTGTGCCTGCCATTAATCGCCTTTTTCAGCGATTTGATATTGCAAAGGTAGTTTGGGACTTCTTAACTGATCGTTACACTGCTATCGATCTCTCTCGATAGTACCAACTTTTCCTTCGATTGCAAGCCATGAAACAACAGTTTGGTCAATCTGTTTAGGATATCTACTTCGACATGGTCTGTTTTAGGGATGAGATTGCTGAATCAGAACCCTGCTGGAACTACCCCAATAAAGCAAAAAAATTCTATACCTACCGTGATTCTCATTGCGTTATTTTGTTTTCTTATGGCCTTACTTGACGAGTTTGACTCCACTTGGACTGCTATTCTCAATAGAAAGCCATTGCCTTCCTTTATGCTGTTCTTAAGAACTTGATATGTGAAGAGGAGGAGAAACGGTGTTTCCTTTTAGCTATGACTGATTAGGTTAACTCAAGAATCCCATACTCGTAGTTTTCTAGCACATTGGCAACCTCCTTCAGAGGGCTTCATCAAAGTTAATTTTGATGGAGCAGTTTTCAAAGAGTTGAATGCTGTAGGTTTGGATATTGTCATTCATGATCACTTGGGTGTATTTCTTGCGGGTTCTTCCAGTTATCGCAAAGGCACTTGCATGTGAAGAAGCCTTTTCATTTGTTGTTGGTATTAGGAGTTCTCGAGTACCTTTTGGAGGTGACTGTAGCTCAATTATTCAAGCAGTATTATCTGAGTATAATCTGATTCCAAGGACCTTTCTTCTACTAGTGTGATTTTGGACGAAGTTAGATTACTGATTATTCAATTTCAAGAATTGAAATTGCTGTTGATACATAGAACTTGCAATCAATCAAGTCATGTTTTTAATAAAACAAGCTAGATTGGTAGGAAATTCTAATTGGAATTTTCCTTCTCATTTTTTGTATCCTGCCTTAATGGCAGACTGCTTCAATTAATGAAATCTTTGCGCTTTTTATATGTGTATATATATATATATATATATATATATATATCTATATCTATATCTATATAAAAGAGAGGTAACTCAAGAGTTAAATTTAATTAGGATTGTTATTGTGATAGTTTAAAAAAGATGCGTGTCAACACATTAAAATGTGTAACATGATATTTCACTTGCATGCACCAGAGTACCCTAGAAATGGCAGCAAGACAATTTTTCTATGCTCTGGTTCCGTCACCCTACACCACTCCCCTCATGGGTGAAAGTATGTTTAATTACTTGAATCCAACAGTTCAATTTACTAGTACTGCTTCTATTACTAATACTAATAGTTTAACTTCAATGCCACTCACCCTCAGTTTAGCAATATTACCACTACTAAATGTTAGTGCTACTGATAGTCTATAACAAATATCATTATTGTATATAAAGTATGAATCTTAATATTAGGGAGTGTAAGTGTAAATACTTTTTAATTTTAGTTTTTGTTATCTCTAAATTACCCTTATGCCTTTTAATTAGAATTATTGCATTTTAATGTGGCATTAATTAAAAGAAATAAAACACTTCAATTGATTACATCTTAATAGTATTGATAATTATAATTAAAAATTGCCCATTAAAAACTATTTACCTATTCTTGGACTCCATCTCCAATTATTATACGTATCAAAATTTCTTAATTGGAGCACGAAAAATTTCTCATTAGTAAGTAGTTGAGATTGTTAAAAAAAACCAATTTAAAAAAATAGATACTCTCTTAAAAATAGAGAAATATACAAGGAGAAGAGAACCCCTATTCATATGTATATCTTCATACAAATATCACGAGTATTTACAATTATGCACTTTTTAACAATATGAAGAATTTTTCATGTTGCACCCAATGGAATTTCAATATACAAAAAATGACGATATCTTTACAACTGAAATAGCAGTATTAAACTAGAAAAAAGAAATCTGAAAGAGCACCATACAAACCACTATTATGAAATAAAAAGATTTAAAATTAAGTAAATTTCATTTATGGTGACAATTGTAATTAGACAGATTTAGTGCATTCCAATAATTGATAATAATGATAGCGGTTATGGATTAAATATTGGCAATTAAAAAATAAAACACTACAATATACCAAAAAAAACTAATATTAAAATTGTTAATTAGCCACAATTCTCATTCCAATTCCATGATCATCAAAAAAACTGATACTAGAACCAAAACTATTGTGCTCATATGAAAAAAGTAGACTTTTTGCTCTTGCTTCGCATTGGATGTTTTGCTAAAAATATGAATAAAAGAAAAGAAAGTAGAAAAGCTCCAACTATCTCTATCTATAAAATTTTAATTGTCAGAGCGTACAAACAAAAAAAACTTTACATGGTAGATCATTTATACTCCATTTTTGACAAAAATAGAACTAACATAATACAAAAAATTCAAATTACATGTATGTTTATTTTTCTAACTTAATTATATTCTTTGTATATAAAAAATTGTGATGATTGTGGTTTATATGCAATAGAACCATGAATATACAATAATTTTGATAAAACATAATATTATCAATATTTGATATGTTAGAATTCAAGCTATAAATCAAAAAGTGTTTGCTTCATAATTCCAAATTCAATCCTAAGGGACATGTCAACTACATTGAAATGTTTTCTATCTCTTTTCATTTAATAAAATTTTTAAAAGTAACTAGTTTAAAAAAAATAACACAAAAATATTATATTATGACGTTGATGATCAAAATTTTATAAAAAAATGTTTAGTATCCAAAGAATAATATATTTTAAAATATTACAATCACGTGTAAAGCACGTGAACTATTACTAGTATGACTAAAAGAAAAGATAAAAATAACATCTAGATTGTTTTTAACTATAAGCAGATAGAAAACATCAGAGCTGCGGATAATTCATGTTCTTATGCTTCAATTTAAGCATGATTGGCTTCTAATAGTGTACAAAATAAGTTAAACTCAATTTCCATATGCACCATCTTTGTCTCAAATCTAGTACAGTTATTCTTGCAGGACAGAGCATGCCAAGAAACCTTTTTGGCTTTTTGTTGTTGTGTGCATATATAGCAGAACTGTAGCCGCATCATTTATTGGTAAAATAAAACCAATGGTAAAAGGAAGCCACGTAAATCAAGAAGGCCAAGTAAGAAAGAGATGAAAATGTATATTAGTTGATTAGGCATCAAAATGAAGTCCCAGTAACATCTTCAGCCCTACTTGCTCCTAATAACTGTGAGACCTTCAAACAGATAAAAATAACCTAGACGAAAGGCAAAGGTCCCTCTCCAACTTGACAATTTCTTCTCAACAGCAAGTAAAAATGCAGATTTGAGAACTCATACATATACTCAGGATGGACGGAGCAAACTTTTTTTTTTTTTGGGGAAGAAATAACAATCAAAAATCAATTCAATCAGCAAAAAGGTGAGAACAACATTAATTATGATGGAATCTGTTTGAATGCAAATTTAAGCATGAGTATATTCTGATCTTTAATGTAGCAACTGCTTCTGGGATGCTGAAAGAGATTGCAATTCCAGGTGGATGAATTTATGAGCATCTAATCAGAACAGCATTCTTCTACCAGAATTTTGCAATCCGCATAGCTTCTTTTATATGACATTATTCTCTTTGCAAGTTGAAGGCTTTGTCAAAGCTTCATCTTCTTTAATGCTCCTCTATTCTGCAGAAGATACTCAACAAGCGTACATTCATATGCCTTCTAATCAAATTCTACGAGTTATGTTTCCTAGACAACACAGCTGTTGTTGAAGGACGTCATGCCAACACAGCTGTCGTTGAAGGAAAATTAAGCTGACAGATATAATTTAAGGAATTCTAACGATAAAACTATTCATCAGCATAATTCACTAGAGTTAAGACAAGCTTTTTGAGGTTAGGGGCACTCTCAAATATGGTTCGGGGATATTTTGAGGTTAGAGTTGAGACAAGACTCCGATAATTTGGCTGATTCCATGCATTGCAGATTTGAATCAGCCGAGTCAGAGCGAGTCGCTGCGAATATGAAATTATCCACGATTCTGGAATCAGTACCATACCAGTCTCTTCCGTTCCGGTGACTCGGCCAAGATGGCTAACCATGCTCTCAATGAATCTTGGCATCACTTTCCAGGATTGGATGCGGTCA